CTTCCCACAAGCAAAGCCACAACGCGTGCGCAGTGGCAATGTCCCCGGAGCAGCGCGGTCATATTCTGAATTCTCGGCAAGAACCTCCCGGTTTGGGAAGCCAGGAGATAGACGGACACTCTCGCCCATGCCGTTCAATGGCCGATCCCAGCCGCACGCTCACCAGACCAACCCGCACGCTCACCAGACCCCGCCCACTCACCCACGCCCACCAATCCACTCGGGCCGTGAGAGAGCGCGTGTGTGGTTTGTGTGGTGTGTGTGGCGTGTGTGTGGTGTGTGTGTGTGGTGTGTGTGGCGTGTGTGTGGCGTGTGTGGCGTGTGTGTGGTGTGTGTGGTGTGTGTGTGGCGTGTGTGGTGTGTGTGGCGTGTGTGGTGTGTGTGGCGTGTGTGTGGCGTGTGTGGCGTGTGTGTGGTGTGTGTAGTGTGTGTGTGGTGTGTGTGGTGTGTGTGTGGCGTGTGTGGTGTGTGTGGCGTGTGTGTGGCGTGTGTGGCGTGTGTGTGGTGTGTGTGGCGTGTGTGTGGTGTGTGTGGGGTGTATGGTGGTGTGTGTGGTGTGTGTGTGATGTGTGTGTGGTGTGTGTGGTTTGTGTGGTGCGTGTGTGTGGTGTGTGTGGTGTGTGTGTGGTGTGTGTGGTGTGTGTGTGGTGTGTGTGGTTTGTGTGGTGCCTGTGTGTGTGGGTGTGTGGTGTGTGTGTGGTGTGTGTGTGGTGTGTGTGGTGTGTGTGGTGTGTGTGTGGTGTGTGTGTGTGGTGTGTGGTGTATGTGGTGTGTGTGTGTGTGGGGTGTATGGTGGTGTGTGTGGTGTGTGTGGTGGTGTATGTGGTGTGTGTGTGTTTGGTGTGTGTGGTGGTGTGTGGTGTGTGTGGTGTGTGTGTGTGTGGTGTGTGTGTGGTGTGTGGTGTGTGTGGTGTGTGTGGTGGTGTGTGGTGTGTGTGGTGTGTGTGTAGTGTGTGTGGTGTGTGTGGTGTATATGGTGGTGTGTGTGGTGTATGTGGTGTGTGTGGTGGGGTGTGTGGTGTGTGTGTGGTATGTGTGGCGTGTGTGTGGCGTGTGTGTGTGTGGTGTGTGTGGTTTGTGGTGTGTGTGGTTTGTGTGTGTGGTGTGTGTGTGGTGTGTGTGGTTTGTGTGGTGCCTGTGTGTGTGGTGTGTGTGGTGTGTGTGTGGTGTGTGTGTGGTGTGTGTGGTGTGTGTGTGTGGTGTGTGGTGTATGTGGTGTGTGTGGTGTGTGTGGGGTGTATGGTGGTGTGTGTGGTGTGTGTGGTGGTGTATGTGGTGTGTGTGTGTGTTTGGTGTGTGTGGTGTGTTTGGTGGTGTGTGGTGTGTGTGTGTGTGGTGTGTGTGTGGTGTGTGTGTGTGTGTGGTGTGTGGTGTGTGTGTGGTGTGTGTGGTGTGTGTGGTGGTGTGTGGTGTGTGTGGTGTGTGTGTGGTGTGTGTGGTGTGTGTGGTGTGTGTGGTGCATATGGTGGTGTGTGTGGTGTATGTGGTGTGTGTGGTGGGGTGTGTGGTGTGTGTGTGGTATGTGTGGCGTGTGTGTGTGTGTGGTGTGTGTGGTTTGTGGTGTGTGTGGTTTGTGTGTGTGGTGTGTGTGTGGTGTGTGGTGTGTGTGTGTGGTGTGTGTGGTGTGTGTGTGGTGGTGTGTGTGTGGTGGTGTGTGTAGTGTGTGTGGTGTGCGTGTGTGGTGTGTGTGTGGTGTGTGTGTGGTGGTGTGTGTGGTGGTGTGTGTGGTGTGTGTGTGGTGTGTGGTGTGTGTGTGTGGTGTGTGTGGTGTGTGTGTGGTGGTGTGTGTGTGGTGGTGTGTGTGGTGTGTGTGGTGTGCGTGTGTGGTGTGTTTGTGGTGTGTGTGTGGTGGTGTGTGTGTGGTGGTGTCTGTGGTGTGTGTGGTGTGTGTGCCGTGGGTAGCTCAGCGGTCAGCGCGCCCCATCACCGCAGGAGATGGGCCTTGGCGCTCGGAGTTTGTCTTTGAAGAAGTTCCCATCGATATTCATCTCTCACGAAAACACATCTCGTGTTACACTACACAACCCCACTTTTCGCGCAGCATTCTGGGAGAATCAATCCGTTCAGCAGCACGAGAAATGGACCTCCCCTTACGGCTTCGACAATCGGGGGTCTCATCAACATTCTCCACAACGGCGCTCTGTGTTGCATATTTACCAAGTTTCCAGTCCAACTCGGACCCACGGGTCTAACGGAGGGGCAGGTGTACTTGCCTAAACACATCCGGCAGTTGACCATCATTGGTGCAAGCGAGGCGGACTGCTGATGAGACGCCAACTGTCGAAACCGCTTGAAGGGTAAACCTGGATTCAACCAATGCTGCTGCTCACGATAACGAGACGCACTCCCATCGGCCACACACAGCAAGAAGCAGCGTGCGTGTGTGCGTGTGTCTGACCGTGGAGAGAGACAAACACGGCAAGGAGGCGTTGTTCATGGTGTTTATAGCTACGCACGTTTGTTTTGGCATCGCCTTTCCACCGGTGCCAAATTGTTCCAGCAAACAACGGCGCAGCAACCGAGAAGGGTGATGCTGGTGGGGGGTGGGGGGTGAGATGGGGGGGTGGGGGTGGGAGTTGTGGGTCGGTGCCCCTGAGCCTAATTTTAGACTTGGGGGCTGTGGCTGAGCGTCAGCCACTCTGAGCGAGATGATGCCCCCACTGCCCGCCCCCACCCCACGGGAGCTGCCCGGCTGATGGAGCGAGTGCACTGATGGAGGAGGAGGTGTGGGGAGGGTGGCGCGGTGGGGGGGTGGACACTGCATCACCACTGCCCTGTTGTATATTTAGCAGCGGTCAGTGGCAGGTGGCCCAAGTTGACTCTGCCGGCTCCTTCGCGCCTCCAATCAACGGGAGTCTGGCCACCTGGTGCCCCGCTGCCCGTCAGCGCTCGGGGTCCGTATTTTTAAACCCGGTAGACCTTCTAGAGGTGAACCTTCTAGACTCTAGAGGTAGACCTTCTAGAGGTGGACCTTCTAGAGGTGGACCTTCTAGAGGTAGACCTTCTAGAGGTAGACCTTCTAGAGGTAGACCTTCTAGAGGCGATGCTTGTGATTGACGAGCGAGTCGAGTATTTTTCGTTTTTCGTCAGATCGCCGCGTGAGTCAAACGTGTTGTCGTACAGTCTCCGCCACCCGACACAGCCAATCGATTAAACAAAAAAAACTGTAACGTGCACAAACGTGTACCGGTCCAAGACGACCTTCTGTGAGCATTCCTCCACAATCGAGAAAGGGTGGACACATTGACTCCTCTCTCCGATTACAGGCGTCCTAAAGCAGCTGACATACCATCACCAGCCATGGTCAATCCACTGCTGGATGAGGCCCCCCAAGCTACACCAAGCCATTGTCATCTCTGCACTGGTCACTCGATGGAACGATCCGTCTCGAGCGCTCTGCTCCACATGGGAGGAGCTCATCTCATCGTCGCTCCGTCTCCCCGGTGGCCGTCCCTCTCTCCCTGGCCCCTTCCATGCCTCTGGCACGCGATGTCCAAGTGGAGGAGTCGGAGTCGCGATGGATCCCAGCGGTGCATCGTTGACGCCGCTTCAAACCCGCCGGTTGGAACTCCCTCATCACAGCGTCCATCTACCTCCCTCTCTCCCTCCTCCCCCTGGAGTTCAAGACACGCAGCCCGCTCTTATCAGCTGCACGCTCGTCGCAGTGCCGTGACCGTCTCCGCCCAGCGCCTCCGATGGTCTCAAAGTTCATTCCCCGTGACCTCGTTGGGGAATGTCACCACCAACACCGTCACCACCACCACCGTCACCACCACCACCACCGTCACCACAACTACCACCAACGTCACCAAAACCACCACCACCGCCACCACAACCAACAGCACCGTTACCACAACCACCACCACCGCCACCACAACCACCACCACCGCCACCACAACCACCAACACCGCCACCACAACCACCAACGCCGCCACCACAACTACCACCAACGTCACCACCACCACCGTCACCACAACCACCACCACCGTCACCACAACCACCACCACCGTCACCACAACCACCACCACCGCCACCACAACCACCAACACCGCCACCACAACCACCAACACCGCCACCACAACCACAAACACCGCCACCACAACCACCAACACCGCCACCACAACCACCAACACCGCCACCACAACCACAAACACCGCCAACACTACCACCACCAAAGACAAAGATCCCCCCAATAAACTAACAGGCTGTTGGGGCAAGTGCTGTTAGCGAGCACCTCTGAAGGCGGCACGACACACGAGGGGGTGGGTGGCGAGCACCACGCCCGGCCGCCTTTGTCTCCCCATTGGCGATGTTTACACACCGCACAAGCTATTCATTTGAGGCTGAGTCGACCTAGGGGAGGCCCAGGACCAGTTCAGCTATTTGTCACTGGTGTTGGCCGTGAGTGGGAATCAAACTCGGCTCGCTCCGCCACCACCACGACCACCACCACCACCACCACCACGACCACCACCACCACCACGACCACCACCACGACCACCACCACGACCACCACCACGACCACCACCACGACCACCACCACGACCACCACCACGACCACCACCACCACCACGACCACGACCACGACCACCACCACCACGAGCACGACCACCACCACCACCACGACCACCACCACGACCACGACCACCACCACCACCACGACCACCACCACGACCACGACCACCACCACGACCACCACCACCACCACCACGACCACCACGACCACCACCACCACGACCACCACGACCACCACCACCACCACGACCACCACCACCACCACCACGACCACAACCACCACCACCACCACCACTACCACGACCACCACCACGACCACCACCACGACCACCACCACCACCGCTGCCACAGCAGCATTGGCGCAGGCCGCGCGCACACACCGAGTTCACAGCGAACCACAAGAGCGCAATATTGCGTGTCGAGTATGGGAGCTCTGAGCTTCTGCAGACCACCAACCCCACAGCGCAGAATGACGCCACCGCCGCTCAAGTTGCAAACAAAACTTTTATTGTCCAAGAGCAGAGTTCGCACACAGAAAGCGGTGTGCGTCACCATAGGCGCACACGCACATGCGCACACAGCGTTGCTTTGACATTATGAACGCAACAAGAGAGAGAGAGATATATCTTTTTTGGCAATAAAATGTAAATAATAAAAAAGTCAACTGAGAAAGTGCCGCGGTGCGTGCATGCGTGCGTGGGAGCGTGCGTGTGAGCGTGCGTGCCGAGGACTCGGGGCCAAGAGAGCCTCTTGCCGAGCCACGCCGATTGCCAAATCTCACCAAATGTCACCGATTCTCACCGGACTCGCCGAGCTTCGCCGAATTTAGCCCGTCGCAAATTCCAAATCTCACCAAAAAAAATCTCACCGAATTTCAATGAACCTTCACCAAATCTCAAATAGACGAGGCATCTCGCAGAATGTCACCCACGATCACCTACTGCACGCCAAATCTCTCAACCCCCAAAATATTACCGGAAACCCTCACCAAAATCCCACCGAATCTCACCAAACGTCCTCTGCATGTCGGCGAACGCCAACCGAATGTCACGGCCGGCATTGGCACGCACGCACGCACCACGCGGCACAGGCACCACACGGCACAGGCACCACGCACGCACCACGCAGCACAGGCACCACACGGCACAGGCACCACACGGCACAGGCACCACACGGCACAGGCACCACACGTAGCCCCCCCCCACTGCCCCCCACCACCAGCCTCATGCCTCAGCCTGGCGGTGGGGGAGGCAGGGTGGGCGGGGGTGTTAATGAGCTGGCAGGTTAATGAGATGACGAGCAGCTAATGAGCGCCACCACCACCACCACCACCCGGAGCCCAGCCAAACAAGCGGCACCACAAACGGGGTCACACCGCAGCAGCCAAGCGGGGGGAGTCATCGGCACCGGCAGTGATGGGGTCACGTGGAGGGGGGGGGGGATCACCAGGATCCAGCCTGGATAGCAGTGATGGGTGACCGAGGGTCACGGTGGGGTCGCGCCCATGACACGAGGTGGACTTCCTCCCGTGGTGGACGCTGCTCCGGGTAAGTCGGCACGAGCGACCGACGGGACACGAACCGACCACAACGCGATCTCCCGTCTCGGCGGGTCGACCGGTACCACGTGACCACCGTGGGCCACGCCCAGCAGCGTGGGCGCTTGTGAGAGAGCGTGATGGCCGTCAAGAATACTCCGTGGGGGGGGGGGGGCACTTCTTGGGCAAGGGCGGGAGGCCAGAGCAGTGCGGGAGGCACGTCCACCTCGAAGACGGAGCGACGACATCCGTGCAAGCGCTGCGCGGATCGTTCCATCCACATCGCAAGACCGCGACGCGTGGCAAGGGTCGTGGTGGGGGCCCTCATCCAGCAGTGGGTGGACCATGGCTGATCGACGACGTGGACGATGGCCGTGAGCTCGGGAGACGCCGGATCGAGGGTCACCGTGGGCCGCGCCGCGTGACCCCCCCCCCTCTCTCTTAAAGCATCACCGCTGCCACCACGCCAGCGGCAGGGTTTTGGCGATCGGCCAAAACCCTGCCGCTGACGAGCCGTGGCCAGGGGGAGGAAGCGCGCTCTGCGGCGGCTGTCTTACCGCGGTCAAACATTCAGGAGGATTTTATTTTTGGTTACAAATCATCTTTGGCAACAGCAAAAATATCGCGAGAAAGCATGGGGGGGGGGGGGGGAGCGGGTGGGGGGAGATCAGCAATAACCGCCGGCGCTTCGCGGGGCGCGCGACCTCGCGGCGAGGCCGTCGCTCGCTCGCCAAGGAACGCGCGGCTCCCGTCTCCACGAGTCCCCGCCGCCACGCGGTCCGCTGCCGCAGCCCGCACTGCGCGCACGCTCGCTCACTCGCTCGCTCGCTCACTCGCTCGCACAGTCGCTCGCATGCTCACTCGCTCGCTCACTCGCTCGCACAGTCGCTCGCTCACTCGCTCGCACAGTCGCTCGCTCACTCGCTCGCACAGTCGCTCGCTCACTCGCTCGCACAGTCGCTCGCATGCTCACTCGCTCGCTCGTCGCGTCGTCGTCCACGACTGCTCTGTCCGTGTTCTAGAGGCGGCTGCTGCTGCCGCTGCATCGCAGGGTTCCCCACGTGCACCGAGGATGACTCACAGGGAGGTCACGTGACGACACGGGGAGGTCACGTGATGACACGGGGAGAGCAGGCTGCGCGCGAGCGAGGGGCGAGCGTTGCGGGCGGCTGTTGAAGCGACGCGTGTTCTGTTTGGACGTAGATCATCGTTGTCATGATCACGATGGTAGCAGCAGTCGGAGTTTTTGCAAGAGCGGGAGGTGCGCGCACGCGAGCTCGGCGGGGGGTGCGGGCGCCAGCCTCTCCGGGGTTCAACACCGGACGGTCCGGGGATCGACATCGTCCGTGTGCGGGCGGCGGAGGGGGATTCGTTACCGAGATCCGGTACCGGCGCTGCCGTGGGGACTTCACTGCGGTGTACGGTCGTGGTGGTGGTGGTGGTCGTGGTGGTGGTGGTGGTCGTGGTGGTCGTGGTGGTGGTGGTCGTGGTGGTGGTCGTGGTGGTGGTCGTGGTGGTGGTCGTGGTGGTGGAGGTGGTCGTGGTGGTGGTCGTGGTGGTGGTCGTGGTGGTGGTGGTGGTCGTGGTGGTGGTCGTGGTGGTGGTCGTGGTGGCGGTCGTGGTGGTGGCGGTCGTGGTGGTGGTCGTGGTGGTGGTCGTGGTGGTTGGCCGAGTGGCGACCGAGCCACCCGCCCGGTCTGCGGTGGAGAAGGAGGCGACGCTGCGACTCGCGAGGGCGAGCGCACGCGTGTGGGTGAGCGTGCACACTCACACGTGTGCACGCTCACTCACACGTACACACTCACACGTGCACACTCACACGTACACTCACGTGTGTGGGTGAGCGTGCACACTCACTCACACGTACACACTCACACGTGCACACTCACTCACACGTACACTCACGTGTGTGGGTGAGCGTGCACACTCACACGTACACTCACGAGAGTGGGTGAGTGTGCACATTCACCCACACTCACGAGAGTGGGTGAGCGTGCACACTCACTCACACGCAAACTCACGCGTGCGTGTGCACACTCACACGTACACTCACGCGTGTGGGTGAGCGTGCACATTCACTTGTGCACGCAGCTCAAGTTGCATCCTCAGAGTCAAATCTCTCGACCACGTGTCCCCCACGCTGTTCCAGCAGCGGCAAGGCGAGCGTGAGTGTGTGTGCACCTAGCCTGGCACAAGCTATGTTGCGACGTCACCACGGCTTGGTGGCGAATGGCGGCTGTTGTTGTACAAGCGAGAGAGTGCGTGTAGTAGCCGCACCCATAGCGAGGAGCATCGAGGATGTGGTGAGCCGCGTGTTGGACAACAAACTGTACAGTAGAAGCCCTCTTCACGACCACCCCCCTGTTCGTGACTAATCGCTTCACGACCGGGCCTCCACTGAGCCCGCTGCGTTCGCTTACCGACCATTCCCCTGTTTAACGACGGGCTGTTGTAGGTACGGTCAATATGAATGAATGCGTCGATTAACCATGTTTCTTTTAAAAGTATGTGTTGACATTGTTGTTAGTATCGTATTCATAACCATTGTTTAAATATGGTGAAGTACGTTGTTTGGGTGACAAATTGTAACTTTCGGTTCTATCGGAACGATTAAATCTTTAACAGAAATTTCCAAATCACTTGACGAACGGTTTCGTGAAACCAATTACCGAGGGGTTCTACTGTACTTAAACTAAGCCCTGGGTACACAGCCTCAGGTGCGTAGGTGCATGTGTGCGCGTGTGCGCGCGTGTGCGCGTGTGCGCGTGTGTGTCCTTGTGCGTTGTGAGGAGCGGTGGTTTAGTGCGTTGCGCTACAAACTCGGTGTCCCGAGTTCGATTCCCGCTCAGTGGCTAAAATCGGTGGTGAGAATTCGAACCGGACATTGGCCTCCCTTAGGTTGACTTGGCCTTAAATGAGTCACTTGCTGTGGCGTGCGTGTAAAGCGTCTGGCAAAGGGCCTGGTGCGAGCCACGTCGTGCCGGCCTTCGTCGGCGCTCGCGAACGGCACTTCCCCAAAATTTTGTAACAAAAATGAAGTTCTCCCACCTCGATTGTCCAATAAGATTGTCCAATTACAACTGTCTGACGTGTTTGTGTGTGCGCGCACATGTTCGTGCATGTGCACACGTGCGCGTTCCCACGTATGCGCGCACACCCGTGTGAGCGTGTGTGCGTTTAACCGTGCGTGCGTGAGCACTGCTCTAGCTGTCGTGGGCACAGGCGGCACACACGATGTCGTCGCCCTGGACGATGAAGCCCTTGCCGGCGAGGGAAGCATTGCAGCCCTTGCAGGCGAAGCACTCGTGGTGCCAGTGCCGCTCCTCGAACGAGATGAACTTGGCTCCCCCGGCGCCTAATCGCGCACGCACAAAGACAGAGGTCCCCGCGTGGTCTTAACAGAATGTTGTTGTTCAGGAGGGGAGCTGCGTTCCCTGTTGCTTGGCAGATTCCTGCCCCTGAATGCGGGACAGTTACCCTACGTAGTGATCCGAGCCAGAATCAGTCCACGGGACCTCCAGTATTCTACAGATGTCCAGGCAGTACCGGTCTAACTCCTGATGGAGGAATGGCAGCCTCTCATCCCCCCGCAGTGAGCGTCTGGACGTTCCACGTGTCCTACCGCAGTGGTTTCCTGCTCTTGTTGGAGGAACCCCGAGGGCTGGAGGTTTGGCTATGGCCGGGAATCACCGTAGATGCCGGTCACCCTGGGACTTGATCTGATTTGTTTCCCCTCCGTGGCTTGTCGGTGGTTGAGTTGAGGATGGACAGGTCACCAGTCCCTCGGACCCGTCCAGAGCCCCCGTTGACCGCATCAGCGGCAAAGCCGATTATTGTCACCCACCCCCCCACCCCCAGTGGCACTGCTCACGGTCGCCACGACGTGACCGACCGCCAATGACCGGGGAGCTGGGGGTTGTTTTGCCAATTCTCAAATATACCGGGTGTTTAAGAAACATCTACCCGATTTGAAATTGCAATATCTCTGCAACCACGAACCGCCCTTGAATGAAACTCTTACCACTTGAAAGGGCGGGGCATAGAGAGGGCGGGGCATATAGAGGGCGGGGCATAGAGAGGGAGGGGCATAGAGAGGGCGGGGCATAGAGTTTCAAATGATTACCACTAGATGCCTATCCCAGCGCACAAACAGCCCCTAGCCTCAGTCATTCGCAAGACACACACTGCCTCAACGTTGGATAGGTTGCACGGGACCCCAAGACTTGGCGCTACACTCTTGGCCCCCAAGATCCCCAGACATCATCACACCCTGCGACTTTTTCTTGTGGGGATACGTCAAAGACCGTGTTTTTGTGCCACCGTTAGCGACTAATCTGGATGACCTCAAAACAGAATCACGGCAGCGGTGACTTCAGTGGAAGAAGACACTTTGAGAGGCGTTTGGGACGAATTAAACTATCGTCTCGATGTTGTCCATACAGCAGGTGGAGGGTACATAGAGCATTTATAAAATGGTTAGAAAAACTGTATAATTCATTAAACCGTTTGTTACTTTTCGTGTAATTGTAACATGTTGCCATCGGGAAATATACTGCTTTCAAATTCGATCCATCTTTTTAAAACACCCTGTATACTTATGTGCAAAGACAAAGATCCCCCGTATAGCCCTTAACAGACTGTTTGGGCAAGTGCTGTTCGCGAATGCTTATGAAGGTCGGAAAGGCACACGTACACATGGGAGGGGGAGCTGTCATCACCACTTCCCCCCCTCACCCACACCCCTGGGATTCCCGTGGGCTCAGCTTTCGTTTAAACCGGGGACACGGTGCCACTCACGGGCCCCGCGTCCCCGCGTCCTCATCCCCACCCCTGCACGTCTCCCCGTGCGACCGCGTATCAAGTCCCCGCGTCCCCACGTCCCCCCGCTTCACCCCCGCCCCCCCCCCGTGCCGTCACCGGTGATGGGCGAGCCGCAGGCGGCGCACTTGTGGGCGTAGAGGCCGGCGTGGCAGTCCAGGCAGAGCGGCTCGGCGCCGTCGCCGTCCCCGCGGCTCGTGAAGCGCTGCCCCGCCAGCTGCGCGCCGCACGCCCCGCACACGAAGCACTCGCGGTGCCACGGCCGCCCCTCGTAGCGCACCCCCCCCTCCTTCATCACCTGGGGTGGGGGGGGGCGGGGTGGGGGGCGAGGCACGTCGGAGAGTCACCGGAGGGGAGGGGGTTTATCAACGAGCCGGCGCGCCGCCGCTACGTCTCGTCGCCGGCGGTGGGCGACCCCAGAGGACGAGGCGGCGGGCCCCCCTCCACCGCCCGGCGGGCAGCACGCTCGGCATCGCGAGACGCCGAGACCGCCGGCGGGGGCCCCGCGGGACGCGGGTTGCCCACCGCACGCCCCCCTCGTGGCCCCCCCCCGCGCCCTTCCCCCCCACGCCCTTCCACCGCCGCGCCCCCCACCTCGTTGCAGTGCGTGCAGCGGAGGGCCACGTGGCTCTCGTAGCACGCGGTGCAGAAGTTGCCGTCCTCCCTGGGCACGAAGCTCCCGGAGCCGATGGGCTTGTCGCAGCGCGAGCACACGAAGCAGCCCTCGTGCCAGCTGGCGTCGTTGTACTCCATGCGGCGAGAGCCTGCGCGTGGTGGGGGTGGGGGGGTGGGGGTGGTGGGGGTGAGGGTGGTGGTGGGGGTGAGGGTGGTGGGGGGGGTGAGGGTGGGGAGGGTGAGGGTGGGGAGCAGTCAGCGCTCGTTCACAAGCAGCGGCACCAGCACCGCCTGCGCATGGTTGCGTTGCGGTTGCGAGTAGTTGCGTCACAGTTGCGAGCGATTGCGTCGTAGTTGCGCCGCGGTTGCGCCGCCGCGTGGCACCTGGCGCGATGGGCTTGCTGCAGCCACTGCAGCGCTCGGCCACCTCGCTGCAGTAGCAGTCCCCGCACAGCAGCTGCTCGCCCTGGCACAGGAACGGCTGCGCGCACAGCGACGCGGAGCAGCGCGCACAGCGGAAGCACTCCTCGTGCCAGTGCCGCTCCTGGTACGACAGCTCCTGCGGGGGGAGGGGGGGGCACAGACGAGGACGAGGGGATTATGGGGGTAGTGGTGGAGGAAGCGATGGATCAGGAGGAGGAGAGTGGCGTTTGAGGGAGGGGAGGAGACAGGAGGACAGAGAAAGGGGGGGAAAGGTGGGGAGGGGAGGCAACATAGAACGGGGATGGGGTGGAGGAGGAGGAGGAGGAGGGAAGGGCGGGGAGCAGAGGGGGGAGAGGGGAGGAGGGAGGGGTGGTGAGGCGTGGGGAGACGCGAGAGAAATGGGGGGAATGGAGACGCAGAGAGACACGGGGGGGGGGGGGGCACACGGGGAGGTGGGGGGGAGACGGGGGTGGCCGTCAGCATGCGGCTCGCTCGGGGTGCCGAGTGAGTAATCTGCGGCAGGCGGGAACTTGCAGACAGGCACACCCACGTCTCGCGCGGCCAGGCGAGCACAGCCGAGCACAGGTGGGACCAGGTGGGACCAGGTGAGACCAGGTGAAACCAGGCGGGACCAGGTGGAACCAGGTGCGACCAAGTGTGTCTGAGCAGGGCACAGGTGGGACCAGGTGGGACCAGGTGAGACCAGGCGGGACCAGGTGGGACCAGGTGGGACCAGGTGAGACCAGGTGGGACCAGGTGGGACCAGGTGGGACCAGGTATGTCTGAGCAGGGCACAGGTGGGACCAGGTGGGACCAGGTGAGACCAGGTGGGACCAGGTGAGACCAGGTGGGACCAGGTGAGACCAGGTGGGACCAGGTGAGACCAGGTGGGACTAGGTGGGACCAGGTGGGACCAGGTGTGTCTGAGCAGGGCACAGGGACATGCAGGAGTGTGATTGTGAGCGCCGTTGAGGCAAGGTGAGGCCAGGTGAGGCCAGGTGAGGGTAGCGGACTTGAGGTGAGACCCGGGGAGTGAGGTGAGCTCTGGCGAGGCAGAGGAGCTATCGTCAGTGCAGACTCACGAAGAGGGGCGGGGGGGGTGGGTACGGGGAGGAGAAGGAACCAAGTGAGTGTCCATAGAGCGAGTGGCAGTGAGTTCCCGGCGAGTTCCAGGCGAGTGTCGATGAGTTCCCGGTGAGTTCCCGGTGAGTGTCGGTGAGTTCCCGGTGAGTTGTCGGTGAGTGTTGGTAAGTTCCTGGTGAGTTCCCGGTGAGTGTCGGTGGGTTATCGGTGAGTTGTCGGTGAGTTATCGGTGAGTTGTCGGTGAGTGTCGGTGAGTTCCCGGTGAGTTCCCGGTGAGTGTCGGTGAGTTCCCGGTGAGTTCCCGGTGCGTTCCCGGTGCGTTGTCGGTGAGTTCCCGGCGAGTTCCCAGTAAGTGTCGGTGAGTTCCCGGTGAGTATCGGTGAGTTTCCGGTGAGTTCCCGGTGAATTCCTGGCGAGTTCCTGGCGAGTGTTGATGGGTTCCCGGCGAGTTCCCGGTAAGTGTCGATGAGTTCCCGGCGAGTGTCGCGGCGAGTTCCCGTTGAGTGTCGCGGCGAGTGTCGTGGCGCTCACCTTGGAGCCGCAGCCGATGGGTTTGCTGCAGCGCTCGCAGGAGCTGGCGAGGTGCGAGTCGTAGCAGGGCAGGCAGTGCGGTGCGCCCTGCGGGCCCAGCGCATAGCGGCCCCCCAGCAGCGAGCGGCCGCAGCGGCCGCAGTCCAGGGCCTCCGACATCTCACTCACCCGCGCCTCACTCATCGCCTCGCTCGCCAACTCGCCGGCTCGCTAGCCGTTCTGTTCACCGCTCGGCGACCTGCGCACCCAGGGGCATCGGAGCGAAGTCAGGGCACGGAGGGGGCACGAGAGGGGCAACACTCACCACAACACTCACCATAGCTCCCTATACACCCCCACCCGAGCTCACCACTCGCTTCAACGCTCACCATAACTCACCACTCGCCCTCACACTCACCGCGCACAACTCGCTACGAGATCAGGATGACAGGGCGAGAGGGGAGCCCGCGGCTTAACGTGATGATACAGCGCAGAGATGGTGAGCGGTGGTGGGTGGGTGGCTGTCGAGGATGCGAGGCGAAGGGGTGAATGACTCACTTCCTCTCCACTCGCTCGAGTTCTCTCCCCACGCTCTCCAACCTCTACCCTGCAGCACTGCCCGCCCGCTCCCCGCACTCCCCACTCTCTCGCCACTCTCCTCCGCTGACTCTCCCCACACTCCCAAACTCCCACAAGCACCTCTCTCCCCGCTCTCTCAACCGTCCCGAAGTCCCCCCTCCTACTCCTCCTACTCCCCCTACTCCCCCTACTCCCCCTACTCCCGCTACTCCACCTACTCCCCCTACTCCCCCCTCTCTCCGTTTCTCGACTCCGCACTCTCGCATCCTGCGCGCTCTCTCTCCCGCCCCCGCCCTCCCCGCACTCTCCACTCCCCACGACCGCTCTCCCCGCACTCCCCACTCCCCTCCACACCACTCGCTCCGAGCACTGCGACGATCTCCGTGCGCTCACGCCGAGCGCGCAGTCCCACTCACCGCCACTCGCCCTCTCCCCACTCACATCCTGTCCGCTCCCCCCCTCGCTCGCTCCCCCCACTCACATCCTGCGCGCCCTCCCTCTCCTCCTCCCTCTCCACCCCTCCTCTCCTCCCCCTCTCCTCCTCTCCTCCTCCCCCTCTCTTCCTCCTCCTCTCCTCCTCCTCCTCTCCCTCTCCACCCCCTCCTCTCCTCCTCCCTCTCCTCCTCCCTCCTCCTCCCTCTCTCCACCCCCTCCTCTCCACCCCCTCCTCTCCTTCTCCTCCTCTCCACCCCCTCCTCTCCTTCTCCTCCTCTCTTCCTCCCCCTCTCTTCCTCCCCCTCTCCACCCCCTCCTCTCCTCCTCCTCGCGTTACGCGGAGGAGGCTGGCCATCACTCACCGCGACTACTGTCATGCTTACCGGAAAGTAAGACGCACCCTCCACTCCCCCCCAGATTGTGCCCAGTGTCAATAAAGTTCTCCCACGCACACAGAGGCAAAGGTGTCCCGTGTAGCCTACGCAGGCTGTAAGGGCAAGTGCCGTCACGGCAAATGAGTGGGTGGCCAACTCACCCACGCCCGGCCACCTTTGTCTCTCCATTGGCGATGTTTACACATCGCAGCGAGTAATCATTGGAGGCTGAGTCGGCGTGTGTGCGCGCACACACACACAGGTACACACACACACAGGTACCCACACACAGGTACCCACACGCACAGGTACCGACACTCCCCCACAGGCACACACACAGGTACACGCACACACACGGACACACACACAGGTACACACACTCACAGATACACACACTCCCCCACAGGCACACACAGGTCCACACACACACAGGTACACACTCCCCCATGCCACACTCCGATAATAACCGCATGGCCCAGCATGACCCGAGGCGATAGCGGAAATGACACAATCACACCTACACACATCTACATACACACACCTACACACACACCTACACACACATACCTACACACACACAGACACACAAACCACACGCAGACACACAAACCACACGCAGACACAACATCACTCACACACAGACACACAAACCACACGCAGACATCACATCACTCACACACACACAGACATCCATGAAGGCCGGAAAGGTACACGTACCTACACACACACGTACCTACACACACGTACCGACACACACAATCACGCATACCTATACACAAAGATCCCCCGTATAGCCATAACAGACTGTTGGGGCAAGTGCTGTTAGCGAGCACCTATGGGGGCCGGCACGGCACACGAAGGGGTGGGTGGCCAGCCCCACGCCCGGCCGCCTTTGTCTCCCCAGTGGCGTTGTTTACACACCGCACAAGGTACTCATGTGAGGCCGAGTCGACCTAGGGGAAGCCCAGGACCGGTTCAGATAATCGTCAGCGGCAATCGAACTCGGGTTGCCAGGTTCGTAGCGCAGCGTGTTAACCGCTACATGACCGCTCCCCACACACAATCATACACACACGTGCATACACAATCACACACACAATCACACACAAAACACATACACAACACACAATCACACACATGCACACACAATCACACACACGCGCACACACAATCACACACACGCGCACACACAATCACACACACACGTGTACACACAATCACACACACGTGCACACACAATCACACACACGTGCACACACAATCACACACACGTGCACACACAATCACACACACACGCGCACACACAATCACACACACGCGCACACACAATCACACACACACGTGCACACACAATCACACACACACAATCACACACACAACACAACACACCCAACACACACACAACACAGCAGCAATACACACAACAGCAACACAACACAGGCACAGCTACAAAGATCACCCGTACCACCTCTAACAGACTGCTCGAGCAAGTGCTGTCAAGAGAGCAACTATGGCGCTGGCACGGTGCACGAGGCGGTGTGTCTGGCCAGCACCACGCCCGACCGCCTTTGTCTCCCCAGTCAAGACGTGTTGTTTGTTTGTTTCACACATCGCACCAGCCAATCGCTGGAGGCCCAGTCGATCTCGAGCCGGCCCAGGACAGGTTCAGATCATCGCTGCTGGCGCTGGCGGCCCCGGGCAGGAATCGAACTCGGTTTGTCGCGCAGCGCGCTAACCGCTGTCCCACCGCTCCCCACACACACGGAAGGGACAGTGCATCCCTCTCGGGGGGGGGGGGGGGCTCAGACCACATCCCCTCGATCTCCACCCCTCGACCCCCCCCCCTCGATCCCCACCCCTCGATCCCCACCCCTCCCCTCGATCCCCACCCCCTCGATCCCCCCCTCGGACCCCCCCCCCGATCCCCCCTCAACTCCCCACAGCCCCGACCCCCCCTCGCCGCCGTTTCCCAATTTCCTGGAGGGAGGAACGCGACTTGGCCCGAAGACAGCCGAGGGGAGGGGTGGAGGGGCGGGGTGGAGGGGCGGGGTGAGTGGGGGGTGGACGAGGTGAGGAGTGAGGTGAGTGGTGAGGGGGCCGGATAAGGGGTGGGAGAGTGAGGTGGGGGGGGGGGTGAGGTGAGGACAGGGGTGGGGTGAGGAGAGGGGTGAGGGGTGGAGGTGAGGAGAGGGGTGTGGTTAGGGGTGGGGTGAGGTGAGGGGTGAGGTGAGGGGTGAGGTGAGGGGTGGAGGTGAGGAGAGGGGTGAGGTGAGGGGTGAGTCAAGGGGGACGCGGGGGGGGGGCAGTCACGAGGAGGCGGTGAAGCGATGGGGACTGCCACGTGACCACCATGTCAACACGCCGCGTGCACACGGGGAGCGGTGGGGCAGTGGTTAGCGATCCTCGCTCACGCCCAACACCGGTGACAGATTATCTCAATCGATCCTGCGCCTCCTCCCCTAGGTCGACTCAGCCCCAAATGAGTCCCTGATGCGTGTGGTGTGTAAATATCGCCTCTGGGGATGGGGGGAGGTGTGAGACAAAGGCGGCCGGGCGTGTGCCGTGACGCCCTTCACAGAAGTTGCTCGCTAACAACCCTTGCCCCAACAGGCTGTTAAGGCTATACATGGCATCTTTGTCTTGTGCGTTTCATCAGCTGTGTGACGCTGCGTGGAGCCTAACCGAGTCTTGGCTACCATGTAGCCCTCCCTCCTCGACGATTTGCGAAACGTCCGGCCCTTTAAAGGAAGCATTCAGGCCGGTTTAAGAAGTTAAAAAAATCAAAACGGGCTGGCCTGCCTCCGATCCACCCTGGGTTGAACTTGATGGGATTGTGTGGGTAACTCGGAGATCTTTGAAAGATCTGGACAAGGTCCCATCGGTGAGCTCCTCGGGCAGGCGAGGAGGCTGCGTTGGCTGGGTCGTGCAGCCCGCGCGGCTCCACGGGCTGGAGGAGAGGTGCCGATGACTGCTAGCGGCGGTGTCAATGTCGGCCTCCGTGGAGGAGTTTTGTGAAGGACGCTCCTGGTGTGTTGGAGGCAGTCGCCCTCCGGCAACAACGGAGGGCGGAGGAGCAACGCTCACAACAATGAGCAGAGCGCCGGGCGGGTAAAACGTGGCAAGTTGGCACAACGGGAATCACAGGTGGTGCATCTTGCCAGACATCTCAGTCAGTCAACGCATGGTGAACGCCTGCCAGCAGAGAGAGCTTTCCTCGCTTAATATGACGGCCTCTAAATGTATCTAGCCTGGCACGGACGTCGCGGTCACCTCGGAGTATATGCCTCATTGTGTTGTGTGTGCGCGTGTGTCAAGAGTGTAATGAGCGGTGGCGCAGTGATTAGCGCACTGCGTTACCAAACCGCGCTCGCGGTTAACATCACTGACGAATATCGGAGCCGGGTTCACCTGAGCCTCCCTCCTAGGTCAACTCAGCCTTAAATAAGAACTGTGTGTTTTTCAGCCGAGCGTGGTGTTAGCCCCCCTCCCCCTCTCGCTCGTGCTCGCTAACAGAACTTGCCCCAATGGTCTGTTCAGGCTATACGGGGTGGTGGTGGGGGGGGGGGTCTTTGTCTTTGTGAGTGCTTGCGAGTCAACATCTCTCAATAGGACGAGATGCCTCAATAGGCGCTCGCAAACACAACTCGCACGCAGAGGGGCCGGCTCTGTGTGTGAGATGGGGGTGTAGGAGGGGAGGGGACGTGGGGGGGGGGGTCTTGGTGTGAGTGAGCAGAGGAGGAGGGGGGGGTCCGCTGACATTTCGCGAGTCACAAGCGGGTGGGTGTCAGTGCCCACTGCGAGTGCCAGACTCCACAACTCAGACAGCGACACACGCAACTCGCGCAGACAAAGATCCCCCGTGTAGCCTGAA